AAAAAAAAAAAAAAAAAAAAAAAAAAAAAACAGCAATGACACTATAACAAATGTTATCTTTTTTGCATTGTAACTCACAGGTTTAGTCCATACTCAGACATCACGCCACTCATGATCTGAGAGCTCCTGGATTAACGTGAGGACTCTGGGATTCACATGAAGACGGGATGTGCGGGTCTTTTCAACTTTAGTGCCTTTCTCTAGGTTGATTCCAAAGAAGCACCTAAAAAAATACAAAAAAATAAAATAAAAATCAGAGCTCATAATTTATATAAGGGTTTTCGGTAGATAAACCTTCAAACAAAGTGTTAAAATAAAGTCATAAGTTGTCACGTAACTCTTAGTTTTCTGGACTTTATTTTTTTTTCTCAGACAAATTAAATATATTGACCCTTTGCACCCACGTGACAAAGTCACGCCATGACGTTTCATGAAAATAAAATTTGAAGCGGAGTTCAAAAAAATAAAAATGGTATATTGTTTGTTACATCCATCTGCAAAAGGGAGGAAAATCAATGTCATTAATGGTCTAACAACTTGACATGTCAGCGAGATTGATTTCTATCATCTGTAAAATATAAACAAGTGTGTTTAACCATCCTGATTTGAGCGGATCTGTCCCGCATGAGGAGGTAAGGAGCTGTGAGCTCAGGTCGGGCGGTGTCAGTGCATCGGAACCACAGAAACCAAACTGCACGCAGCAGCAGGCTGCAGAAATGTTTTTCTGACAGCATAAACTCATGGAAACTGTTAGAAACGTGAAGAGAGTTTAAAAAATGCTGACAACGTCTCGTTGAGAATAGAAGCTAGGCTAAAAGTCAGGTGTTTATTAACAGATGACATCAGCACTCCATGTCAAGACCACTCTGTCTGTCCATTTTCTCATCTGGGTCGGGTCGCGGGGACAGCAGAGAGACCCAGACTCATTGTCAGTAAATTACAGATTCCCCTCCCCCTTTCTGCGTTTATGGACGTATCTGACGTCTTTTTTTTGTTTGTTTTTTATTTATTTTCCAAACATCCATCATTCTGCTTCATCCGGAGTCAGGTTGTAGCAGTTTGAGCAGGGAACAGAGTAGAACTCTTTCCCTAGCCCCTCTGCTCTTCTGGGATTCCAAGTTGAGACTAGAGTGTTTTTATAAGCACTCGTCTTCAAATTTATTTTAGTCTCAGACTGTAGGATTTGTAAAAAAAAAATCAAACAAACAAGAAACAAAACAAAAACAAAACAGTAACTAAATAAAATTAAATGACCATCTCCCAAGCCGCTCTGCACTTCGTCCTCTCCTCCTCTTTGCTGTATGT